GTCATGATGTGCCTATATATGGTCATGATGTGATGTCATCATTACCATACTAAAATGTATTATGAAATAAACATATATTTTGGTATATTATTTTATTCGTTGAATAATAAAATGAATTGGGATGATCAATTACAAAATAAACACACACACAAAATATGGTAACATTACAATAATTATGTTACAAATTTAAAATATTTTCAATTCACAATAGTTGACCTAAGAATGAATTACAGTACAAAAAATGTAATAACAATTTATAAATAATTTGCAGTGCAAATGCAATTCGTTTGCTAATTGAAATCAACAGAAATTCTACATATATATTTTGGTATTTTTTATTCAATCATTAAGCAATAGAAAAATATATTAATATTACAATGAATACCGGTACAAATTTTAAATATTTTCAATTCACAATAAATAGGTCAATTATTTTTAAATCAATTACACAAATTAAGTACATAAAATTCAGTTATCCAATTCAATTATATTATACATTAATTAAATTAAATTGCACAGTTTCGTTACACAGTTGAATTCAATACATATCTATTTAAATAACTTGATTTATAAAATAAACTAAAACATCAATTATTATTAAAGCATATACACCATAAATTATTTAACATACCTTAGAAATCATTACTATTGTTAACACTTATTACTTACTTTGGCAATAAAAGAAAGATATGATTAGAAGTACATTATTTATTAGTTCGCGTTGGGCCTCATAAATGCAGTGTGACATGCTAAGATATACAATCGAAAGAGTCCTGCGTAACACTAACAGACGAAATGTTTTACTGTAATCGTATTAGTACCGTAATATTCTGACACTAATATATTTTTTGCCCCAGTATGTCCAAAATCTGTTAAAAAAACAAATGGCAAGAAAAGAAATAAGCATCTGAAGAAATTTTAAAACTACCAAAGCTTGACACTTGTTGTGTACATTCGCAGAATAGACATGCATCAAAAATGGGATCATAAGAAAGAAAGTCATTGGTAGAGTTCCTAGTCCACAAATAACTGCAGTACACGCTTCTCCATATGCATAATATACAGAAATATAGATCCGCTATCACTGAAACGTTTGTTTTAATTCCTAGAATTTCTCAAAAAGCCACGAAGCACATATCGTCTTGACTCGGGTAGTTCATATAACAAGGTACGTGGTTTTGTTTAATAATAATTTTGCATATTACCATAATTAATATTTACTAGAATATAGCTTAGTGATATTGTACATATTCTAAAAATTGGTATTATGTCTAATAATAATTGAAAAGAGTAACGGGGCAAGGGCCTACTGCACTATGCGGCAGACGTACCGTACCTGAACATTTATTGAAACGCATAGTATGTAGACACGAATTGGACAAGTTCGCTTCTATTTTGTTACGCGAATTATGAGTCAGTGCACGATAGTTATAAACCTTGAATTTATGGTGTGTAAGTTTGATGTACCGTATACACTTCCTATACAAAAACGTGAGACTCGATTCGCTCCACTAGCCCCCCCCCCCCACCATCGTTGGGGCCTTTAGCCCCTCCGCTGGGCGAGTCCTGGGGCCATCACTGGTTGCTACCCATCAGCACTGAATTCTATGAGACAATTGCTCGTGCATAACAGTACTAAAAATAATATGCTAATAGGCCCTATTATAAATGTGCTGTAGACGGGCCATCCCGATTTCTGTGAGACTCCCGTATACCATAACAATATATTTACCCTTCCAAGAAAATGTAATATAGTTTATAAATATGTAAAGGTCTATTTATATAGAGCATAATTACACTTAACAAGATTTTTATATTCATTATTAATGTTGTGTAAGGGGCAAGTGTTATGTTTAGCACGTGATTTTCAATATATATCATAAGCACAAAACATGCATTTACACAGACATATAAATGTTATTTAGCTTATAAATGTACAATGGTTTGTATGTACATGGGACTAATGACTAATGCTCCACCTGAATTACGAGGTTTGGAGAAGGAAGTTTATTTATTGTTAAAAGACTGACTCGCATGAACTCAATGTATAATAGTCAGGAATCGAAGCGGGACCATCAAGGGTATGTCAATATGAACACAATGAAATGAAAATAGCTGCTAGCACACCCTTCTTTATACATTTTAAATTACTGCTATCAGGAAATAGATCCGCCATTGTTGGAAACGTTTGTTCTGTTTTCTAAAATTTTCCAAAACGCCACGTTAATATGAACACAATAAATACAAATAATTGCAAGCGCACACTTTTCTATTCATATATGCAGAAGTAGATCCGACACTGTTGAAACGTTTGTTCTGTTCTCTAGAATTTTTCAAAACGCCATGAAGCACATTATCATCTAGAATCTAGATTTCGGCCTGGTAAACTTATTGGTTCATATAACAAAGTAAATGATTTTATTTGAAAAAAAAATCTTATTACCATAAATAACATTTACTAGATTTAGTAAATAATTTACATCATATTCCTAAAATTGGTATGTGTCTGTGTGTAATTAGCAAAGAGACTAAGAGTAACGGGTTATTGCCTAATGATTGTGAGAATATTTTGTGGCAGTTGTTCAACGAAACACATAGTACCACGAATTGGCAGTTTTATTTTGTTACGTGAATTATGATTCTGTGCGCTTAAGACAGTTAATGATCTTGAATTTAAGGTGTGTAAACTTGATATACACTTCCTGTAGGCCTACGACAGGTGTCCCAAGTTGGAAATTCCTGGAGATCTGTTTAAGTGAGCTTTTTAAACACATTTAATTGTATTTTTTCACATGTGAGATGTGTATAAGAGACAGCTACTGCGCTATGCGGCAGACTCCGTGAGACAATTGATCCTACAGTAATACTAAACATAATGCAAATATTGTGAATGTGCTGGAGACGTGGTTATTTTCCAGGAGGATTTTGCTTGGTTGTGAGAGTGCGGGATGCCATCCTGATTACCATGAGACACCCCCCGACTTTTTTTATTACTTTAAACAATCCTTCCTTGTCTTGAGAAAATGAAGAATTCATATTTGATATTTTGAACGAGTCGCTCGCTTTTTGATTGGTTTTATAACGTGCGCAATAAGGCACTTCCTGCGTTCCATAACCCACCAGCACGCTGATAAGGAACCAGGAAGAATGTTCCTTTTCAGCCCGTGTTGCGCTATGTTGTTTGCCAACAATATGCAATATTTACGTGTCACAGATATCATCATATGTACAGTTATTTATTTTCATCGTAGCCTAGCCCCAGGTAGGTAGGTAGATGTATTTCTGTAGGCCTAGGCCGGAGACCCCTCCTTAAAAATAATAAATTTAGGCTAGGCCTAGGGTAGGGGTCCTAGAGAAGTATAAGCCATAAGGGTAGCCTACCCTAGCGTGAGCCCAGGTGAGGTAGGCTATGCGAGGCCTACTTACGTAGGGCCTAGGCTGATAGTTAGGTAAGAGGGCGCTAAATGCACATTTACTACTCCACCCTAACCTTAACCGCAACTCCAGTCTCGATATGTTCAGGTTAAGGTTAGGCCCTAGGCTAGTTTAGGGGCGGAGTACTAGGATCAAGTGCGATCCATGGACCCTGTGTAAGTAGCTCAGGTCCAATATACAGTAGTAAGGACCTCTAATAGAATATTCCATTTTCTGCACAGGTTATCTAGTTATCCAAATAATTTTCAACCTGATCGTCGTGCTATGCGATCGTGAGAGCGTGTAAACAACGATTTAACAACCGTATTGTGGACGTTCGTGGATGGTATTTCAATAATATCTTTAATACTAATAAAAATAATTGTTTATAAACTAATGCTACAGTAATTTAAATAACGAGTTGGCTGGTTTTTCCTGATATTAAAAAGTTTGATTTTTAAAGATAATATATCAAAAAAACAATACCGTACTCTAGAGAAATACCAAATTTTTAGTATTCATTATATTTTCTGTATTTGTTATGTAGTAGGAAGTGTAGGATCGATAACAAAACGAAAATAAACACTCTCCGATAAAAGAGTACGAGGAATGCAAAAAACTAGAAAATAACCCATAAATACCATAATATTAATTGAAATTTAGTTTAGTAATAATAGTATTCATTTTATTTGCTTTTAAGTAGCCTATGTCGTTAGTAGAAAGACAACGAAACATAAATAAAAAAGTAGGATAAACTTGATTGACAAACTTACAATGATAATAGGCCTGGTTATATTACATTTAGCGTTTTCGCAACTCCATTGGCGCTCCATATATTTGTTGAAAACAAACTGGGACCGAAATGAGGCACGACCGAAACGAAGCGCGACCTAAATGATCTGTATTCAGGCTAAGCAGGCTACCTGCCTGGGGCGGCTATTTGGCTATTGACCACCAACCAGCACTGCATGCCTTACATAGATTTTGCCTACCTAGGCCTACCGTAGGCCTAACTAACAGTAAACGACAAACGTCACTCAATTTATTGAAGTACACTTTTTTTCACTGTGGCTAGTATAATACCGTATTTCTGTCGTGCACAATTTGAGACATTTGCAAAATTTGCAAAATGCGCAACCTATCACTGCAAGGATTTCTTTGCACAATTTGAAAACTGTTCAAAATTGTGCACAGTTTGCAAACTTTGCAAGGAGATTGTTGCACAGTTTTAAAATGTACAGTCAATTTGCAGACTGTGCAAGGGCAGCTCATGCACATTTTAATCTATTTGCACATTTTGATACTGATTACTGTAGGCCTAATTTTGTTTTCTGTTTATTGTTGGTGTGACATTAAATAAAAACGTTGGCACATGTAAGCCGGGTATCATGCATGGCTATCGTGTGTGGT